TTCAGATCAAATCACAACAACGTAGGAAACAGATCCGGCGTGACGCAGCTGACACCGAACAGCATGCGCTGTTTATGTCCAGCGGATATTCTCTAAAATGGCACCAGGGTGATGCGGAGGAGACGAATTAATAACGAAAATCATTAGTTTTTTTTCTTTTGCACACAAAAAGTATTCTCGTTGCTTCATATAATTACGGTTGAACCCCTGATGTCACATGGATTATTTTACAGATCTCCTTGCTACGTTTCTGTCTGGGAACATTTCAGTTGTATTGCGGTCCATGCAGGGTCAGACAGCTCTCAGATTCCATCCAAAATATCTTAATTTGTGTTCTGAAGATGAACGAAGGTCTTACGGGTTTGAAACGACATGAGGGTGAGTAATTAATGACAGAATTTTCATTTTTGGGTGAACTATCCCTTTAACACCTCTCATCCTCATTCAGGTGACATCTATGGTGATACTCAACCAGGAGTGGACACTGACCTCTTCTCTAAACGCCTTCCTCCAGAACGACACTCAACCCTTCCTGTGGGCCACGGCTGCCCCCAACCCCCAACGCACTACCCCACGTACCCCAGCGAGTGAGTGGCTTTATGCAGCGATGAAACCTTCCAGTTTCCACCTCTTGACCTCCCTCCACACTCCACTCTGCCCTGAGTTTTTCCATCAGCTCTTCTTCAGCAAGGGAAGATCCATGCTGCCATGCTGCCTCAGTTCCCCCTGAGCCTGCCAGCGATCCTGAGGGCGCTTTCTGTGGAATGAGGGAATGCACTGTGAAGCTTAAAGTGCTTCGATTGGAGCAGGGCTCACAGACCCTTAAAACAGACATGAGAGATGTTGTAACTGGCTCAGTCGCCTTCCCAGTGCAATATGGTCACTCTTGCTGGGTGTCTGTGGAAGTAGAGACTGTACTGTAGGTTCTTCTCAATAGTTTCTCTTACTCTAACTCGAATCTCATGCACGCTCTTCAACCCTATGCATGTCCCCCAAGGTAAACGGTTTAGCTACAGAGGGGTTTTTTAGACTCCTGTAGAAGTCCCAACACAAGAGTGTGTCCAACAAACCACAGCGGCCCGGAGGAAGGTCCGCCAGAGTTTCATCTTAAACCATTCTGCTCTTCTGTACGAGTAATCCAGTGTGTGCTTTGATCAGATGCTTTAATCATAATTTGATTGGCATGTCTGTAAGACTTCCCAAGCCCAGAAGAGCTTCCTTTGTGGAACCAGGAGCACTTTCTGAAAGTGGCATTTCGTATGGTTGTGTGTTTGTTTCTCCTTAAATGGACAGTTCTGATGTACAAAACTGTCTGTCCAGTTTCTGTGTCATTTAATGAAGAAAGCCATTTGGACAGAGGTGAGGGTTAGACTCGCTCATGTGCTCTTGTTGATCTTTTCAGAGAGGCTGATTCACCATTTTATCTGGAAGGCGTCATGAGGGTCAAGGTTATGATTATGCCTAGCTGAGATGGTCTAAGGAATTATTTATTTATTTATTGAAATTTACCAACAAAGCACAAGACAAATTGCAGTGTATAGTAGTGCGTTTCCTTTAGCAGCTCAGAAAATCTGTATGTAAAAGGGTTTATGCTAGCACAGTGAAAGAGGAGAAAAACATCTTAAATAAGGTGGTAGGCCTCACACGAGACATGTTTCTGCCTTTGCTTGTCAACTATTTCCAGTAATTTCCATGAAATTAAGTGTATCATTATTGCTTTTATTTCTCAGCAGACATTTGTATTATGTGGCTGCATCATGCGTTCAATCTGTGTTTCTCATGCTGTAACTCTCAATTTAAGACTCTATATGTTGGAGCAGTTAGTGCACATGTGCATAATGAGCTGGGTTGCTCATTGTAGTTTGATCAATCTGATCGACCAGGGGTGCGTTTCCCAAAAGCAACTATGGTCGCAAGTTCAATGGAACGAACCACCATAGTTAGCTAACGATGCTTTTGGGAAACGCACCCCAGCATGGTAAAGCTGGTTAACCAAGACAGTCCTGCTGCTTAAGCATTTAAAAATTGTTTTCCCATCGCTCTCTGTACTCTCTCTACTATCCATATAAATACAAGTGTCATAAAGGCTAAAAATAAAATAAACACTCTAATATGTCTGGCACAGAATTAATTTGGTTGGAATCTCCGATTGAGCTAAACAGTCCTGATGGTTTGGCTACTTGTTGCTTTATTCATTTTATACATAAATAGTCATTCAGTGCTGGGATTTATTAACTCACGTCATGTGCGTATCATTAAAAGGGCTTGAGCTGATCTGATTGTCATGATTGATAAGAGGAAAGTGGATTTTTTTTTTCAGGTTTTCTTACAGACAGTTTTTATCAGTATATGTTTCAACAGCTCTTCAAAGATAAGCACCTTTCATTTAAACTTTACTTTTTTTACCATGTCTAATTTTCAATCACTCTGTAATGTAGCCAAAATATGCCCACATAAATGAATGTACACTGCCATTCAAAAGTTTAGGGTTTAATAATAAAAATTTTTAAAAAGTATACTTTTAGCTGGGATTTATGAAATTGATCTAAATGTGACAGCAAAGCTAAAAATTCAACTTTTCCATCACATGAATAAACTATATTTTAGAAACTCGAAATAGAAAACAGTAGTAATATTTAAATTGTAGTAATATTTCACCGTATTACACCGTATTTTTATTTTTTTAATTATGTATTTTTGATCAAATAAATGCATCCTTGGTGAGGATAAGAGACTTGTTTCAAAAACATCAAACAAATCTTACTGACCCCCAACCTTTTGAATAGTAGTGTATGGAGTAATCTTTTCCTCTATGTCCTGCTTTTGCAGATTGCACATTTG